AATGAACCACATTCTTCTCCACATTGTATACATTTAAATGTCCACCTCATCACTATATTTGTGATAGCTTTGTGCATTGAAGGATAAAAAATGAAAAAATGGCTAAATTTGTTAATGTATAGTGTAATTTACTACAACTACATTTGAACATTGGAGAATGCTCTTACACGTATAAAATACGAAGGCCACATAGGATAATAACAAAAACAATAAGTAAATTTTTTTAGGCAGGTCATTAGATAAACGTATTTTTTTAATAAATATGCATACTTTTATTGAAAATCTGTCTTACTTTAAAATACAACATAAATGAAAATACAACATTTGACTGAAAAACAATCTGGCACAAACTTAGGCCTACCTTTTAAATTGCCAAAAATTATTATGTTTTTCTAATCAAGCCACCTCAAATCTATCTAATTTGTCATTTTCACCTGCCACTCAACACCAAGACTTTCATCTTTCATACTTAAGGATTAAGCAAGTGGCCTCTTAACAATGATTGAAGGCAAGTAATTAACATTCAACTTGTGTGTTCAAAAGTGCACATGCTCTCCATTTATTTTCTTACTCAATTTTGGAGTGATTGATTCAAGTATTGCCAAAAAGATTGTTTGTGATCTTGGCTGGTCCAAATCCATTATTTAGCCAATCTTATGCAGCACCACCAAGTAATGAAGGAATCTTGTGAATGAGATTAGGTAAGTAATCATGATCTCATCAATGATTAATCACATAAATTAATTGAAGTTTATTACCCACTAAACAAAAAGAGGTTCAATTTGTAGGGCCTAGTGACCAGTGTTATTTTTAGTGCATGTTCTCTTATGAGAAGAATGAATCTACCTTACATAGTGCAGTCAAATAACCAATGGTTAATCATAAATTTGTTAAATGTGTGGAAATAAATCAATAATGGCTTACTAAACTTCAAAAATTTCAAAAATGAAATCTCAAGTAGTCTTTGCTCCTCCAACTTTATGAGGCAAATTACTAAAAGACCCCTTCAACATCCCATTTAAACCAAGATTCATATACAAATGAGAATGCAATGTCACAATCATATCCACATCAGAATAATAACAATAATAAGACCACACAAATGCCAAAATTTTGAGCACAAAAGTAATTTATAATAATCTGATATATTCCCAACACTATCCATATATATTAAGTTAAAAATAAATCTGACATGTGCGTCATTATACCATTTCATCATATTTATGCCAAAAAATAATTAAAAAAAATCCAATTATTGTTCATTCTTTTTGAAGTCTGAGCTTCAAGTAATTTTGAATCTTTATTCTTAAAATGCTTGGATTCACTATATTATCTCAGTAAAGTTCTCCTGTTTTCCCTGTTATTGCTGATTCTCGGCAGTAAAAATCTGGTGATGCGGGTGTAGTAGGACTTTGCGTAGGCCAGAATTCTTAATCTTGAGTACATCAAGTATTTCAATATTCACTTAAAAAACAATTATTCATTCAGCCCCACACACACACACAAAGTGGAGATGATGATTGTAAATTTGTAATGGTGATAATGTTGATGATGATGAGTGAATCAATCAATTATTATTTATAACGTAATAGATTAATATTTCTTTTACATAATGATAGAAATTGCTTTATAGTCGGGTAACAATAATTTTTGTGAAAAAGAATTCGAAATTAGTCCCATAATTTTGGGGGGTGTATAAGAAATAATTTTTCATTTGAGTTGAATTAATCGATAGTATTTCACGATACTTAAAATTTACCCATTAATTTCTGATGATTTCCGTCCGATACTTAAAATTATACTAGATATTGTTTGCATATACTTTAGAGAAGTAAAGAAGAAAAGTTGAAGACCTCGACAAATGCATGCATTTAACATTTACCAAAAATACTGGCTTGAGAACACTTTTTATGACTAGATATTCATTTATGATTTTAGATGAACCATATTTTTCAAACTTTGACCTTGATGATCGAGGTAGGTTCAGAGCTCTGCACCTAGGGACGGATTCAGAAATTAAGAATAGACTGAACTAGAATTTTAATAACTTATTTTCATAAAAATTACATAATACTTTTTTTTTTCAAATCTTCATTGAAGTTGTGCTCGACGAGCTTTTACATAATAAAATTCATTAAGCTCATTTTGCACCATATTTGATGTGCTTTCACTAGTTTGACGATCCCGTTTTCTAAAGAAAGATGATATCAATGGAATTTTTTCCTTTCTTAGCCGAAGGTTGGTGTTCCATGTGAATATCAAAACTTCAACAATACAAATAAATTGATTTTCTACATAACATAATTATTAGCAAAATAAAATGCCTATACATCATAAATTTAAATCTAAATATGATATACAACAACAACCAAACAATTCTAGCAATTACTATTAAAACCCTAAATATAACTCAATTAAAACGAAAAGATAAATAAAGACTATTAGGCCGAAGATCTTGAATTGCTACAGAACCGGCAAACGAGAGCTTTGATCGTCCTTGAACCGCTGAGACCTGCAAAAGTGTCGGGCGAAGTTCTCGGCGTTAGCACTCCGATGCTTAGGTCAGTACCACAAAGATGAGATCTCAAATTTGTATCTATAAAGCAATAATTTATATAGTGTAGAAGAAGATTTAGGGTTATACCTCAATCCCCTTTTACAGGAAAAATACCTGCCCAAATTCGCCTGCCCGAACCCTCAGTCAGCTTGCCCGAGCTGCCCGTGGTTTGATACTATCCTTAACCGAATCATACTTAAGTCACTCCTTAGACACTAAAGTTATGTCTCTATGTAATCGCAGTAATCTCCAACTCCCTATAGGCCACTCTGATGCAGATCAGAACATCTCGAATCACCTCGACCTCCTTGTATTTAGTCGCCCCTTCTATCTAGACCTCATGTAGATCTTTGTCGCCCTTCTCGGCTTATTTACCTCAAGTTCCTCCTCGACCTCCTTATACTTAGACTTCGGTTCACTAATAGTGTTATATCAAAGACAATTAGACAAATGAAACAAATATCTAATAGGGGGTTTAAAAATATAACTTACTATTAAAGAAGAAATTAAATTGTCGTCTTGAAAATAGTCTCTTTCTTGTTGAATAGTTTTTTTTTTTCTTATTCCGTTCTTCTAAATTCATTGTTCTGGTGTTCCAATGAGAGATACATGACCGCGACTAATTTATTTTATTGGAGTTTGATGTATAGCTGTGTTTTGTGGGTTACTGCTTATTAGAAAGAGTTGATCAACAATATATAATATTTTATTATAGTGGTGTTCGTAGTATTGAAATTATTTTGGTGACTTAGTGAGTTGGTTTATTGAATTGGGCTAGAAACACAATTTTTTTTTTTCAAACTTATTGTTGTTAAAAAAAATAACAGGCCTGGGTTGCAACCCAACTCAGGCCTAAGATAAATCTGTCTCTGTATGCACTAAACATGACCACGAATCACTTGGTCCAAAACTAGCACGAACTCGGCCCGGTCAGGCCCGTTGACCACGGGTCTGGGCCTGGCTCGGATTTTAATTGGGCCGAATCAAGGTTGGCCATTTTGAACATATGACCCGATGAACTGGGTTGGCCTAGAATCAATTTTTTTTTAGAATGGGTCCCAAATTTGGGTCGTGTACCCGGCCCATACCTAGGTATGGATCGATTTAAGGCGATGATTTTTAACCCGGCGATCCGTCTGATCGGGCTTATTCCGACTCGAAATTTGGCCATGTCTAGTTTGCACCAACATCTTTAGTCATTTTTTCTGAATCGTGCGATCAAAGTACGGTCCTTTATTATGGGTAATGAAATTGTACTGTCGAGGAATCTTTCTATAACGAGTATCGAGGCAAAGTACCGCCATGGAGAAAGTATATAAAGAAAAAAAAAATGTCTGCTATTATAAGTTAGTTAATTACTATGTATGTGAATAAAAAATGAAGTTGTTAAGAACCGAGATGATTTTGTATTTTTTGTATAATTTTTTTTTTATTTTTTGTTTTGCTTGAGAAATTGATGAAATTGCAGAAGTTGGGGAAGGGAGATAGAAAAGATAGAACACGTGAATCGGGGGAGGAGAGAGAGTTTGGGAGGAGAGAGAAACAAGAGAGAGTGGAGCGAAAGTTGTTAATTCATTCCATAATGCAAATCATCTTTCCTACATGTCTTTTATACTCATTCACATGCCACTCACACAACTCACCACTTAATTCACATAATGGGCTATTTAATATATATAGGCCCAAAACTAAACATAATAAAATGAGTCCAACATAAAAGACCCAATACCAAAATATAAATTATCTAGACTATAGAACCGGCCCACTCCATAACCGGGTACATGACAATACTCCCCTCTCGAAAGAGTCTCGTCCCCGAGACTCATATATCGAAAATGTAACCATGGCATCATCCGTTCCAAATCATCAAAGGCCATAATTTAAGTCTTCTTGCTGCAGCCCAGATGTTATCCACAATGTCGTAACTGGGCTCGATTTTAAACTTCTTAATTCCTAGCCCACTTATGATTTCCAGAATATAACAAATAGCAGCCCAATTATTAAGCTTCCTAATTGCAAAGCTAAATAATATTCCAAATAGCAGCCCAGTCCAAAGAAGATAGCCCAGCCCAAATCCTAAAATCATCCTTCTCTGTTTGGCGTCATTCTTGTTGCCCACTACCCAACATACTTTCGTTCCAGAATCGTCCATGGCCATCAGAAAAAATTCCCGTTCGCGAGCCTTCCAAATCCGGCATCGGCGTTTCGCTGTGTGAACAATTATTCTCATCCTACCACTTCCTTTACTTTTTCCGATTCTTGCCATTTCTCGGAGTTGTTTCCACATATCTAGATCCATCACCGACAACCGTCTTGCTTTAGCGATCCGGCGAGACCAAGCCTCTAACCGACCGCTGTACTGAGGCTTCAATCGGCCGTCTTTGTCCGTTCATCATCGCCGCCACTCCGACGAGGGAAGAACATAAGTGCCTCCTCGCTAGGGTTCCTCTCACGCACCTCCTCGTCGTCACCGCCGCGGAAACACGGCCACGTCTCGAAGATCGCCGACGACCCAATCTCCCTCCAGATCGAGTCCCGATGTCGGAATCGCGACCCTTCTTTCGTTCTGAAGAGTCATCCATGGCTAGGGTAGAAATTTTGCCCAACCGAGGTTCGAAATCCAGCACCGGTGGCCCACGTTCCTCAGCTATCCGGCAACACCAAGCTTCCCGCCGCCCACCTGGATTCACAGCCCTTCTATAGCATCGGATTACGCCCAATTTTATTACGAAATTAGCCACGCAACCCAAATTCTGATAAAGCCCAGCCGAAAAATCTAATAGACCTCGAAGTTGCGGTCGTCTTCCACTCCTTACCAGAAATCCACAACCAGTAGCAGATTCCATTCGGCCAACAGTCTTCAGAAGCCGGTGAGACCAAGCCAATTCGAGGCCGCTGTGGAGCCTCATGCCCGTCCTCTTTACACCGTCGTTGCTGTGTGTTCGTCTTCCTCGGTCTATCACGAAGCATGACCTTCTCGACATTTTCCTTTCCTCGTGGAACAGTCCCAGGCAAAATGGATCTTCAGACTCCAAATCCCTTGAATTTGGCCCTAGTTCGAGGAACTGCTCAAGAAGTTTTGGGGCTTCAATTAATTCACCGATGTATTCCTTCACCAGTTCATTTTCACCATCTCCAGGCAGGTCGAACACTTCAATTGGTGGTACTGCTTGTATCGGTAAGTACCTTTCTTCTGAATTTTTTTGAAAAATGGAGAGGGATTCTAGGTTGTTTGGGGTCTGAATTGTGGTGTTTTGTGGTGTTGAATTTCCTTGTTGATTTTCACTTGAATTTGGCTGTGAATTCTTTTCCTGAATTTCATGAAAAATTGGTTGCGATTTTTGAGGGCTGGGGATTTTAAGTTCAGACCCAGAAGTATTGTAGGCTTCAGAGTTGGCTACGAACACATCTGAGAAATTTTGTTTGTGATTTTCTGGGGAAATTTGATGGGGTTCTGGATTGATAGAAAATTTTATATCAGAATCAGTGGTAGTGAGGGCTGGGAATGGTGGTATGGAAAAATTTTGGAATTGGGGTGTTGATTTTGCCTGGCTTCTGTGTTGTAGATCGTTAATGAGAAATTGTATGGATTCAAGTAACTCACAGCATTGATCAAATTTTTGATTTATTCCTTGTGTTTGCTGATCCATTTGTTGCTGAAATTTTGAATAGCTGGCCTCCCTTTTCAGAATTTCCAGCTGCATTTTTTGATCCAAATGTTTTTGTTGCAGCTCTATTTGATCGAGAAGAAGTTTGTCCGCCATCGTCCGAGGATCGTCCGCTCTGATACCAATTGTTAAGAACCGAGATGATTTTGTATTTTTTGTATAATTTTTTTTTTTTATTTTTTGTTTTGCTTGAGAAATTGATGAAATTGCAGAAGTTGGGGAAGGGAGATAGAAAAGATAGAACACGTGAATCGGGGGAGGAGAGAGAGTTTGGGAGGAGAGAGAAACAAGAGAGAGTGAGAGTGAAAGTTGTTAATTCATTCCATAATGCAAATCATCTTTCCTACATGTCTTTTATACTCATTCACATGCCACTCACACAACTCACCACTTAATTCACATAATGGGCTATTTAATATATATAGGCCCAAAACTAAACATAATAAAATGAGTCCAACATAAAAGACCCAATACCAAAATATAAATTATCTAGACTATAGAACCGGCCCACTCCATAACCGGGTACATGACAATACTCCCCTCTCGAAAGAGTCTCGTCCCCGAGACTCATATATCGAAAATGTAACCATGGCATCATCCGTTCCAAATCATCAAAGGCCATAATTTAAGTCTTCTTGCTGCAGCCCAGATGTTATCCACAATGTCGTAACTGGGCTCGATTTTAAACTTCTTAATTCCTAGCCCACTTATGATTTCCAGAATATAACAAATAGCAGCCCAATTATTAAGCTTCCTAATTGCAAAGCTAAATAATATTCCAAATAGCAGCCCAGTCCAAAGAAGATAGCCCAGCCCAAATCCTAAAATCATCCTTCTCTGTTTGGCGTCATTCTTGTTGCCCACTACCCAACATACTTTCGTTCCAGAATCGTCCATGGCCATCAGAAAAGATTCCCGTTCGCGAGCCTTCCAAATCCGGCATCGGCGTTTCGCTGTGTGAACAAT